TATATATATATATATATATATATATATATTCTGTAGTTTTCTTGCTTGATGAGGGATCACTGCTGAGATAATGACAAAATGCCACATGCTCATCCAAGAGGAGCTATTTATCAACAAATATATAAAAAAAAGACATGACTGAAACTTAAACTGACAGGGTGTGCAGGGAAAGTACTAATCAGAAAAGCAGCCAAGAGACCTGTGGTGATTCTGAAGGAGTTGCAGAAATATAAAGACACATGAAACAGAAAACATGCTCTGATCATCAATACGAAATATTATTTAAACGAGCCATCCTCATTGTGAAAAGTTGATGGAGGCAGCATCATGCTGTTTTGAATGCATTTCATTTAGTGGTGGGAAACAGAGTTGATGGAGAGATGGACATGATTAAACACACAGCAATATCGGAAAGGTAAAAGTTCCTAAACGTGCTGAATGCAAACACTTGGTTTGTTGTTTAAATAAAAAAATATATATTTGACAGTGGGCTGCTCAGTGGAACAGTAGGTAGCACTGCTGCCTTGCAGCAAGAAGGTTCTGGGTTCAATTCCTGGCCTGGGGTCTTTCTGCATGGAGTTTGCATGTTCTCCCCTAGCAGACGTGGGTTCTCTCTGGGTACTCTGGCTTCCTCCCACAGTCCAAAAACATGACTATTAGGTTAATTGGCTGATTCGTTGTGTTTCTATGAGTTGTCCTGCTATGGACTGGGGACCTGTCCAGGGTGTACCCAGCCTCTGCGTGTAGACAGCTGGAGATAAGAACCAGCACCCCTTGCAACCCCACTCAGAATAAAGCGTGTCAGATAATGGATAGATGGATATTTGACAGTCTATGGTGACGTGGAAAACATTCATCTATATGAAGCCCTCCTCCATTTATTACAGAGAAGGTTGGTGCCATGTTTTTAACTTCAAGGCCCTCCATCCAAATAGCTTTTCAAAGAACAAAACGCCAAACAAACAGCTCCAAAATAAGGTTATTAATTCACCCAGCATCCATTCAAGCTCGTTCACTGGACCAGATGTGATAATAAGTAGAACAAATGTAGCTGCGGATAAGCCTGTGATTGCTGAATGTTTACACTCCAGTTAATACAACAGACCCCTCTAGAGTCGAGCCACTAATTAGCAAAATAAAGCCTTGATTTCTGCTTCTAATCCAGAGTTAGTGAAGAAGGCAGCGGCACATGGAGAAGAGGTGGGGGCATTAGGAGGAGGAGGTGGCCTGATGCGCGTCCCCGTCTAAGGTCCTTCTCTGTGCCAAAAGATGAATCAAGCGAATAAGAGAGACATTTGCAGGAAGTTAGGCCTACAAAATAAAATATTAAAATGACTATCTTATTATGAGATCACAGCTGAGTCAACAGTGGAGGCGATTCTTAAACTCTCTTCTCTGCTCAAATAGTCCACACATGTGGAAAAGGTTGGAAACTCGAATGGAAAAAGATTTGGAACGCATGCGCGCAATGGGTGGGCTGAATGTTTTTATTGCAGCGTTTGCCCCACAAACTATAAATGGTTTTATTTTGAAAACGTAATGGGGAACAGAAGCGTCGCTTTGAGCTTTACAGAGTACGACTGGCGTTACACTGGAGTGGAAAAAAAGGAGCGAATGTGCGCTTTAGCTGGGAGAGAGAGAGAGAGGGCGCACAGCCAGCAGCCAGGCGGGCGCATCAGCAACAGCGGCTGAGCATCTCCTCCCGATCCTTTCCTTCTGATTCTGCCTCTAGCATCATTTGTTTTGGTGCCAAATTCCTGCGTGGCGTCTGGTCGATCCCCTCACCGCGCTGGGCTGAAGTGTCCAGAAGCGTCCTGCGACCGTGTTCACCTCCTACAGCTCACTTTCCTCCCGGAGCTCGGTTTATTCTTAGCTCAGCTGCAAGAGATAAACAGAGAGGCAGACTGTCCTTCCGGTACCCTCTCTTATTTCTCCCTGTTTCTTGAATATTTAATGGAAAATGGCGATCCGTGCACAGTCGCTCGGCGTTTTCTGCCTCTTCGCTGTACAAACTGTACTTATCATATGCGTTTCCACGCCGACAGCCGGGACCCACCACTTTCCACAGCACTACACGTAAGTACTGAGCAATGTTTGGGTAGCTGGGATGTGGGGGGGCTGAAGTAGGACAGGTGGATCCCAACCAGGCTGTGCGCTGCGCAGTTTACCTTGGAGGAACTGATTCTCCTTTGATGCTCCATCTGATGCAGGGAGATCAACATCATCCCCCCTGCATCTTTAAAGAGACATCAAATACCAATACATCTACGCACTGTAAATATGGCAACATGATGCACACGGACACGTGCTGAAGGCGAATATACCACCTGATCAGATTTTGAGAAACATAAAGCGGATGAAAGGGAATATAGTCCATGATGCGTTTAGCTGTCTCTGCATGTGGGAGAACATCCGATTTAGGCTTTAAAGTCCTCTGGATAATACGCACGCACCGTGGGGATACAGGAGTCTAAGTGAAGGCGCAGGTTGTTTTAAACTTAATTTGCATGGGAATAATGAAAAACAGCAGCGCATGAGGGTCATGATGTGAAGATGTGCACGGAAAACCCTGCAGCCACAGGAAGCAAGATATAGTTTGACTTTTGCAGCGTGCACCTGTTGGAAAACAGTTTGCACAACTTTACGAAATGACAAACCCATTTGCTTCTTATTAAAAAAAGCTAAAGATGGACTGAATTATTACCGCATAAGATGTCAAACATTAACCTAAATTCTAAGGAGGGAGTTGATTACACAGCTTGTCAGCTTTTAAGATATTTTTACTTTTTTAAAACTGTGTAGATGACATTGGATGTTAGGAGAAATAACATCATTTTAAATGCATTCTGTTGGATTATCTGATGAAAATCTCCAGAGGTTTTATGTCTGATGCCCAAAGTGACTTTCAGTGAGAGTGCCATTGACTCAGATTAGCTGGATCACTGATTTGATTGTTTAAGCTCAATGAAAATAGATGGTGCAGATAATTTATTTCATTTAAGAGAGTCTGAGTACATATTTTTATAAAAAGAAAACTTATTACCTTTTATTTTACAAAACCTCTTATTTCTCCCTCTTCTTGGGGATTGAGGTGCCCCTGTTTAAGTCTGTATTATATTCAGACACCTCTTGGGATTTGATAACTGGGTTTTGGGTCACCCACATTAGGTTTGCCAGAATTTGCCAGATAATTGGAGAAAGTCTTTGTGTGAAGCTTCTGAGGCAAACTAATATCAGAGTAGTTTGTGATTTTGATGCAGAGATGAACTTCGATAAGATTCCCAGCAGTGCCAAAAACTTATATTTTTGCCTAGGGGTTATGTTTTTGGAAATATGTTTGAAGCTGTCTCTAGCAGAAGAAGTTATTTCTGTATTTTCAAATTATGTGTAAAAAATCTGTTCTGATAGCCGTTTATTTTTTTCTCACAGCACATTTGCAAAAAGTTAATCTTTCCAATGATGGTAAAATATCAGAAGCAATCTTGTCAAAATGTTATTTCCACACATCACAAAGTAGTCAACCTCCTGCTCTAATAGATATTTGAGTGTGACAGTGCGAGTGATGAGATCCATTGCATCAGAATGGACAGTGAATTTACGCTGCTGCCACACAGGTCTCCTATCCAAACTCATTTCACCACATTTTCTGCTTTCTCCATAATGTAGGGGCGGGCATAAATCAGAATGCGTTGGAAAACATCAAAAACCTCGGGGTACAAATGGCAGCATTTCTACAACTCCATCAGAGTAGAAAGAGGCAGTGAGCATGCAACCGGCTTTAATGTGCTGAACCGTGAAAAGGTCTTTGTTTTAAGAAGATATCACAGCTTTTATTACACACAGGGTCTAAAGGCGTGGATTAAGCACCAGGCCCCAGTAGTGCATATCATTTCCTGAACAACCATGTCCTGATTTCTGAGTAGCTGTTCTTAAACACGAGTTCTGCAAATCTGAGACTAGTAGATAAGATTCACATTTGATTTATTTAAAAGAAGAGATTTTTTGATAAAGGGGATGAAATTACTTTAACCAATTTAATTTGACTACTATTGGCCTAAAACCTGCAAGTCAAATATCCCTTATAATGCACTGATGAGGCTTTTCCTGGCCTATTTGGATCTTAACCTCCTCAAAAATTTTTTTGTAAATTACTATAACGCATAACAATGGAAATAGTGTGTCAGGTTCTTTGAAAGAGATTGTAGATGTTAATCCAATAGAAAATTGACCTTTCTTGAATCCTGTGGAAAATAAAAGACTTACAAGATCAGTCTCAATATTTTTCCTTTGCACTGTCACCACATGCATGCTCAATCAAAGGAGTTGCCATAAAGTCAGAGAGCTGATGCATAAAAAGTTCCGAAAGAACTTTTTACTTTCCTTAACAATTACTATACTACAGCTTTAAGTATTGAACCATACTGATATTGACTCAATACGATATTAGCACAAATCATGCATAGATCTATGTATTATTTAGTAGTGTGTAATTTTAGGCTGGTATTTGGCTAATTTCTGATATCAATATTGGATTATGACATGTCTAATCCTTTAGGTCAAGAAATTGGTACAAATTGAGCAGATTTCACATTTGGCTTTTTAATATACCAGTTTTAATTTATGGTCTTCTGATAGATGATCTGTGTTTTTTTTTATTTTATTTAATTTTTTTAATAACTACAGTTAACTTTGATTAGAAACATGTGTTACACATTCGACACATCAATTAGGTGGCTAGCTTTGAAGCAGGCATACTTATTTGCTTTGGCTTAATATTTATTCAAGTATCGGGCATCACATGGCAATGCTTTAATTAGCAAAGCATAGATCCTGCTTTTTTGTACCATTAAAGGACATACTCTTGGTTGTTTGTAGACTGAAAATGTTGGTCATTGTTGGGTTTAATCCATGAAATGCATTGAACCTTTGCATTTCTCCAGTATTTCCCTACTTGTCTTCTCTGATCACCATTGAAAACTGATTATAGGAAAATTGTCAAGTTCCAACCTCTGACCAATTTACTCTTGAATCTCAGATTTTAATGTAACATATTAAATACTGTCTGTCACTGGGAAATAGCTAATGTCCCCTACTGGTAGTTCCATTGTGCCCTGCTCTGCCCTTTCTCATTGTAAGCTTTTTTTATTTCACATCGAAGTGACCTTTTCATAGTAAGGAGCCTCTCCAGTGTGTCATCCGCTCCACTCTCCCATCCCATACTCCTTAAAAGGCCTCTTCTATTTTCTTGAACTTGTATAATCAAAAACAGTAACAATGCATAGATGCATGCTTTGGCCTGCTGCTTCTCCCCTGACAGAATGACACACCCCACCCATCACCCCATGGAGTGGTTTGGTAATTATGGCCAACACTGTTGCTGCATGGTAATTTTGTGAAGTTTAATAAATCTGTCTTCCCCTTCATCTTTTGAGCGAATCTGACATTTCAAAATGACATTTGTTTCTGTCATCATATTAAAAGAAAAGCGACCACATTGTGTTGAGATGTTTATGCAGATTATTGCTTATCTTTAGGGCTGCTGAAAGGGAAAGGTTGGCACTTGGTGGCTGGTCACTGAATGCATGACAGGATTTATTCGTCTGATTGCTGAAAGCTTTTAAAATGTTTTCTGAGCTGTGCCGCGCTTATCAAGGTTGTTAGGTTGGCGTCTGCTCCTTCTATTTAAAATGATCTAAATCTGGATCCATTAAGTCATTTGTTGCTCTCTGAGAGATATACAGTGATGAGCTCCAGGCGTTTGATCTCTTAATTCCGAACTTGGCTCCGACTAACAGAGATCAGCTCCTGCTTAGGGTGCACTTCTGTCAGACTTGAGCAGTTTTATTGCGAAGCTACAGATCCAAAGCTGAGGCTAGACGGGCACTGCTACGAGTCCTGCCAGGGCGGACCATATAAATACATGCACGATGTGATGGGCAAATGTGATGAGTAGCTTAGATATTAGCAAAAATTTGACAATACTTCCAGATAGGGATCCAGAAGTCTGTGGGGGATATTGGCAGCTTTACAGCAGGACACAAGTTATACATAGATGGGGGAAATAAAGTAACTATCCCAAATTAACAGACACACTAACTCTTGTGAGCTGACTTATATGAGGACCTGTTAAGGTGGTGACACAGGATCAACATGCCTCCTTTTTTTCTGCAGGATGATTCACTGGGCTGGACGCATTGAGAAGGAGCTGGAAAAGGTTCTTCAGCACGTTACTGGAGCTCAGCAGATGAGATCGGTAAGTTGACGTCAGGCGAACATGTGACGAGCTGCATTCCTTGCATTATTAATCAGATTCCTCTGGGCTTTGTTGTAAAACATCATTGCAAATGTGTGAATCTCAGAAGCTGAGGCAGAAAACAATAATTTTTTATTCATTTCTTTACATTTAAAAAGATCAGGTATTGTGATTTTTGCCCAAAATAGTTTTAGAATTTTTTGCACAGTAGAATTGTAAAATCTGTAAAACTTTATTGAGTAGGTTAAGAAGCTAATGAAAGATAAAAAGACACAACATAGGAGCCAAGGATTAAGTGGAAAGCTGCTGAGAAATGATGAAGTCATGCTTGGAACCTTCAAATTGGCATATAATAAATTATAATTGTGTAGTATGGTAGCCTAAGATAAAGGTCATGATAGCAAGGCCCTTAGTTTAATTGTATAAGTTAAAGATTTATATGTTATTCCATTTGACAGGAGAGGAAGTTATAGAAAAATGCTGGTTCAGTGCATTTTGTTCAAGACCTAGCCAACAGGCATGGGGCAACGTATCTGAGGTTTTGAAAATGATCATAGGTGAACACATCCCACTTGTGATCAAAGCTCCAACTCAAAGATGAGCATTTTTTTAAGTGTTCAGACCACATTTTTGACCAGCTTTCCTGCTCTGGAGTACAAGGGTCAATATGCCAATATGTATTTTACCTAAGAGGGTTTAATTGTAACTGTTCTTAGAATGCAGACTTAGGGTGTTTTCACACCTGCCCAATTTGATCTGCTTCACACAGACCAAAGTGCTCTTCCCTGGTTGGTCTGGACCTTTTATGCAGGTGTGAATTCTTGTCTGAACAACCAGACTGAGTCCCGGTTTTTGAGGTGGTCACTGTCTTGGATGGTTCATCTCAGATGTGAATACAAACTGGCCCTAACCAAAACTCTGAAAGTACACCTCTATATAGCAGCGGATAAGGTATCAAGTATCGAAATCATACCTGTCCCGCTTTCTGTTGCTTAGCAACACTGCTGCCAGCAAGGTGGATCTCAGTGCTGGGTTGTAGGACACATTGTCCGACAACATCCCAAAATTAAAAATAAAAGGTCTTTGACTGAGCTGCTCTAGAAACTTTCAGTGCTTTTGCAGCTGTAATAAAACAGAGGTGCTGTAAGCTGGATTCCCATCATGGTTTTCCTCAGTTTCTGGTTCTGTGTTCTGTCCTACTTATTTCTGACAGATAGGAGCTATGATTCTCACTTGGAAGTGAGGAACATTGCTGTGACTTATACAGTAGTGGCCATTCAAAATTTCCCCACTTTCCTTGATGGATCCTTGGCTGGTCCCCTACTATTCCTTTTTAAACATAAATATTTATATTAAAATATTCTTTGTCATGATTTGTGAACATTAAGATCTAAAGAGAGTCGTCATCTCCTAGTCAGGCCCTGTAATTCAGGGAAAGGGTGGAGTCAGAGAAAAAAATATACAAGAGGAGGTCAATCCAGTGGCTGGAATTTGGAGGGGATTTAGCTGGGAGTTGTAGGGAAGTGGGCTGCCATTCGGCTGGCGTTCGACTGGGAAGGGCCATTTGAATGGCTGCTTCAGTAGTCTACCTGCAAGTACAATCTGCCAGATACAAACCGGACCTAAAAGAAAAGAGTTACCTTTTTTGTCAGGACCAAACAAGCCGGCCTCAGGTTTTTACTGCATGAACTCTATGTGTGTCCAGAGTAATTTTTCCCTCTACACATTTTATGTGGCATGAAAAAGAAACTTCCAACAAATGATGAACAAAGAGTCAACAAAATGCTCAGATGGCAGCTTAAGTCAAATTTAATTGGCTAGCAGTGACACCAGGACTGCCCTCTTGTAGTAATGTTAGCTGTAGAAGATACAATAAAACATAATAAAAAGAAACATTTTTATGTCTGCTAAACTTTGTTTAAAAGTAATATTTACATTTTTCTCAGTGGCTTGACTGTTAACTCCCTGCCGAAGGTATCTGTGGTCATAACTGTGCTGTCTAAATGCAAAAATGTTTATTTTAACAGAGATAATTTTTTGTTTGTTTGTTTTTTGAAGGTCAGCCATGTTTCTTAATGAGATCATCCTAACAAAAAAGGGAGACAACCATAGTGGCAGACTATAGCTAAGTACAGTCACAGAAATTATTAATCCACTGTCAATAAAAACAGAAAAATAAAAAAGAAACTGCAAATAATCCATATATGGAAGTACTTTCTTTAAACTGAGCCAATTTTGGGTTTCAAAAAAGTGTGTGATATATACTAGTACTGATCTGCTTTGGAAACAATGGACAGAGATATTGTGACCTATGTTTCATACAATTTTTTTTCGCTCTAAAGTATCTTGATATTTGCCCTTCAAATGTGAGGTGGAAGATTATACAATGAAAGCATCTGATTATCTTTCCTTTTGGGGGAAGGGTTTTAAGTAAGATTACAAGAGAACTAAATAACCCCCATGAGATGGGCACACTTTGCAGAGCACAGATTTGGTTTTATTGTGTCAGCATCCCAGTGTCACAATTTCTATGTAACATGTGTGTCTTGTGGCAGAACAGATGGTTGAGCACAGTTTTATTGACACTGTTTCATCGTACTTCTGCCATGTGCACATTTGCTAGGCTTCCAGGGTTTGTAATGCACCCTGAGATAAATGCTTCATTATTGCTGTTTGGGTGAGTGTGATTCATCGGGCCTGTGTGACGCCTGTGGCTTTAATGCTAGCAGTAACAGTGGGTTGTGTAATGGCTGGTCGTATGGTGGCGACATTGATGGATCCCTGAGAGGAGGAGGAGAGCTGACAGAGGTTGTCCCGGTGGAAAGGGTAATGACCATTACTGGATATAAGGCAGACGCTCAGAGTGTCCGATATAACAAGGTTGATTTTTAGCACTTATCCAGTGTAAACACAGCAGAGGAGAGTATTTACCTGTCAAAATGTTTGCCTTTCACAGTGTGTAAATATTTTTCTTAGTAGTCCTGCTGAGCACTGTTAAAGTCTACTGGGCAGTAGCCTTTCTAAGTAACACGGTTTCAAGGTAAAAGTCTTATTTTGTTTCATAAAAATTATGCATCTCTGAACTGAGGTAAGAAAAGTGCTGCTGAGATGAGTGTAAACTGCAGATGTTGCAGATAATATCTGTCATTTTAGAATATAAAAAAACATGTATTTCTTCAAATAACAAAGATTTTTACTGATTATTTGCTGTTTTTTTGTGTTTTATAATAAAATACATCCAAGAAACGTGTAAAGCTTGTTTAAGATAGATAGCTTTGTGTGTACCAATAGTTTACCTATTAACCATATTTTCAAGATGTTTAATAACTAGAATAACAGAAACACAATGAGCATGGTACCAACACAAAGGTTTGTAACAGGTTTGCAAAATATTAGCAACCATTGCATTGCCAAAAATGCTGCTGAATTTTGCATTATTTGGAAATCATATTTTAGCCCTTTTCTTTGTCTTCTTTCCAAATTTTTTAAAATTAAATGACCACTTTTCATAAGCTTTTTTTCACGGTTCCCTATTTATACCCATGAATTATTTATACCCATGAGGGAATAACCAAAGACTATTAAAAGGAGGAGACAGATATCTGTTGCCATGTTGAATAATACTAAGAACAACACCCATTATTTTCTAATTATAGTTGTATATTCAAACTAAATTTGTCTTCTGCATTTAACCCATTGAATTGTAAGAGAAACAATAACGAATTTCTGTCTTAATGTAAATGTTTTTTGGACAAAATGGTATTTCTGCAATAATTACATAGTTCACCATATTGAGTTGAAAATATATGTATTGACTCTAAAAGAAATGTGATCGGCCTCCTTATCATAACCCTAATCATTAACTCTGTCCACAGATTAAAATAGGAACTTTGGCTACCAGGGGTGTGAATAATTTCACAAACCTCGTTAGGTCTGCAACAGTTAATGGGATTAATCGTTATTGGTCAATAATTGAAGTAATCGTCAACTAATTTAGCAATCGATTGATCATTAGCTGGAGCATAGAGACTCTAAAGCATACCTTTAGCTATAAAAGCTACAGATATAGAGAAGCAATTATATCAAAACTGTAAAAAAAAAATTTGTATTCAAAATAAAACACAATAGAAATTGTCTGTCTATCCAGAATTCCTTAAACGGATCAGCTTTGTTTCACCTGGTTTGAATTCCTTATAAAGTACTTTTTAAGGAACTTTTTGCTATTCGATTAGTAATTGAAAATATAATCAAGTGATTAATCGATTTGCAAAATAATCTTTAGTTAAGGCCCCACATATGGTCAGTGAAAGTCCCTCTAAATCTCCCTGACTACTTGTGCATTGGTAGTACTTGGTCATTCTGCACACATTGATATTGTGATTTTAATATATTGTGCAGGAGAATCAGACTGGAAAGCTGCTTTTGGCACATCATTATAATTTTGCCACAAAGGTGTTATTAGGATGTGGCTTCCTTTTAGAGTTTGTTACGAAAGACAAATTCTCAAGTAAGTGACCGACCTGATCCTAATAATCTCATCTCTAGTTGATGTTAAGTTCCTTGGACTTGAAATTATTGAGTCAACAAGGGCCTGAGGTGCTATCTGTTAGCCAAAACCAATGAAGCTTTTCTCGCTTTAAAAGTGTTATGTCCACTCGCAGGGATGTCTTGTGTTGGGTGCCCATATGGTTGTGTGTGCATGTGTGTGTGCTGGCCTGACAGAGTGCACAGACTGTGTGTGAAAGAACATTTATCATTGCCCCAAACAGGAGTCGTCACAGGGTGTGCTAAATGGCCCAGCATGCCTAGAAAAGCCATTTTCTAAATGGATGCCTCTCTCTTTACGTGTGTCTGATAGAAATCTTCCCAGGGCTATGCCGGCTCGTAACAAGATTGCCTCCCTCTGCGCCCCCTTCCTTTTCATGCGCAGTTTATTTTCACATGAGACAAAAAAAAAAATGTAAAATGTGTTCAAATTATTTCTAGGTTTGTCTTACATG